AACTTTTAGACATATCAGTGAATTTATCAGATATCTACTGTGTGCTGTGCTTATTTACTCAGTCGTGTCCGATTCTTTGAGACTCCAGGGACTTATTCTTTACCAACTGAGCTATCAGTGAAGCCCTCATGGACTCATTAGCCCGCCGGATTCCTCTGTCCATGGGGATTCTACTACTACTATTTAATTCATTAATTCGGCTATACATATGTACTTAAAACAAAGTATAAAGTAATACACAGATTAAGAGATAGTGCTTTCATCTACTCATAGTTCATTGGATAACTTTATTTAATCTATGTATTTGTCGCTCAGTCGTGTCCGACTCTTTGTGACCCCATGGACTCTATAGTCCATGGAATTCTCCAGGCCAGAATACTGGAGTGAGTAGCCTTTCCCATCTCCAGGGGATCTTCCCCAAACAGGGATTGAACCCAGGTCTCCTGCATTGCAGGCAGATTCTTTACCAACTGAGCTATCAGGGAAGCCCACTCTCTATGTGTAGCTTTGGCACTTTTGATCCATCTAAGACTTTTTTTCCTAAAATGCATCATATTCACTTCTTCCTTAGTCTTTGTGGAGAGAAAAAAAGCAAAGATCCATGTAATACAATGTGGCCGCTGGACATCTCCAGCCCCCACCACATAATCACAACACACGAGGGCAGCTGGTTGTTCATTCATCCTGTAAGTGGTCTCTACAACATAACCACTGGCTATATTATTTTTCCAAGCAATTTTTAAAAAGCCTGTTTATGGAAAACTATGAAGGGGCTAAAAGGAATAAGGTGGCTGATGTGAAAAGCTCTCTAAGATGTTAAGTTTTAAAAGGCAGGCACAGCCAGCCCAGTGTTTGCAGAGCATAGAATAGCTCTGGAAGATTCTGCCAGGGTTAAAGTTGTGTCTGAGGGGGAGGAGAGCTGGGGACTGCAGGTCAGAAGATATGGGAGACTTGGTCATTAAGTAACCTCTATAAGAAGGCAAAACTATCATCGATTAAGGTAATTTCAGGTGCAAAATAAAGCAACTGAAAGAAGACCAACTACATGAGAGATTTTGTGTAAATAAAAATTAAAGCAACATTCCCCTTCTGAAAGATGATTTGGGGGCATATATCATAATATACACACAAGTATTTTGACCTTTTTTGAGAGGCTTTCATTACATGATGTTGTTAGGTGTTTCCAGTGAAGTCTTATTTAATACTCATAACAAGCTTATAAAGTAGGGATTGTAAGTCCCATTGCACAGGTGAGTAAACTGAGGAATAGTGAGGTTGCCAAGAGTCACAGAGTTAATAGGTAACAGGACTAAATATTCAAATCAAGGTCTGTCCAACTCTGAAAATCTGCCTCTCCCGTTGAGCCCTGGTACATCATGGGACGTCAAATATATATAATCACACAAGATCTTCAAACAGTGCTGTGAGGTGGGTAGTACTATCCCATTTTACAGATAATGGAAGCTGAGGATCCAAGGGGATCATACTCTACCCAAAGTTGGCCATCTTCTTTGTACCCCATAAAAACAATACTCTGTACACCCAGTGGTCATCTTGGGAGGACTAACCTGTTATTTTATCACAAGCATTAAACACATTTGCTTCACAAGGTTAAACCTGCTTACTCCGATCTAAGGTTGCACTAACCATGTATTCATCCACAACCAACCTAAACTTCACCTATTACTGTCGACAAGTAAAGACAGATGAGGCCCAGCCCGGCTGTCTGGTGGGGCTGTTGTTGGCTCAGATCCTTGAAGCCTCCTGAAAACCAAAGCCTCCTGACAACCAAAGCCTCCAGCACTGCTCTCCTCTTGGGTTTCAGTGCTCTGTGGTTTCTTATCACTTGCTTTAAAAATAACTTCTTAACAGAAGCATTTTCTAAAGATCACAAGCATGCACACCAGCAACACTTCAGACATCTCACCCACCACACCACAGAGCAACAGAAACAGCATACCCAAAGTTGGCCATCTTCTTTGTACCCCATAAAAACAATACTCTGTACACCCAGTGGTCATCTTGGGAGGACTAACCTGTTATTTTATCACAAGCATTAAACACATTTGCTTCACAAGGTTAAACCTGTTTACTCCGATCTAAGGTTGCACTAACCATGTATTCATCCACAACCAACCTAAACTTCACCTATTACTGTCGACAAGTAAAGACAGATGAGGCCCAGCCCGGCCGTCTGGTGGGGCTGTTGTTGGCTCAGATCCTTGAAGCCTCCTGAAAACCAAAGCCTCCTGACAACCAAAGCCTCCAGCACTGCTCTCCTCTTGGGTTTCAGTGCTCTGCGGTTTCTTATCACTTGCTTTAAAAATAACTTCTTAACAGAAGCATTTTCTAAAGATCACAAGCATGCACACCAGCAACACTTCAGACATCTCACCCACCACACCACAGAGCAACAGAAACAGCACAGGAAGCCCCACCGAGGGGACAGGAAGGAGAAACACGAGCCGGAGCAGCCCTTCACAGTCTGCAAGATGCTCATTTAAAGCCCAGGGCTCAAGTCGGCATTCGTGCGTCTTTATCACTTGGATGCCGCACGCTCGAACAAATGTACGCAGGAAGGAAAGCCTTCCTGTCGCCGTGGCAGGGTGGATGACAGCATTGGCAGGTCTATGATTAAAGGGTTAAGACTAAGACAAACAACACGCAGGCCCAATGCTTGCTGGAAGAGAAAGTCTTTACATTACATAACAGAGCAAGAAGAATAGACACCTCCCCCCACGCGCCCCCAGCCCCTGCTGTTATTTAGCCTCGCCTGTCTTCACCACACTCGGGACAGCTGTCCGCGTGCTGGCACAAGAGTCATATCCTCTTGCTGTTTGCACAGCGGCACATTTGTCTTCCTAATCGCAAAATGTGAAAGTTCCTGCCTCCATGACCAGAATCAGAAGCCAAACGTTAAAACAAATCTTTCCTTAACATTATCCTGTCTGAAGATGCTTGTACTTGTGACTTCTGTTTATCTATGCTTAATGGCACCGGCATAAGGAGAAATAGTGTATTTACACACCTGTGCTGTTATAAAAGATCACTTGTCCAGATAAATATTTACCCATCATTCTGTTCTTGAGCTCATGTCGGTGCTGGGCACACGGAGGAAGAACATTCTTTCCTTCAGGCAGTTCCCACTTCCAGAGGGAATATCTTTGAATGGTGTCTATGGGGGTGTGTGTGTGCAAGTGTCATGCCCCTGGCAGGGGTGAGTGGGAAAGATGGGGAAACCATCATAGAGGAGGCTGCATTGGAGCTGGGCACTGAAGGATAAGTAGGAGTTCGCTGGGCTCTGCATTATAGGGAAGAGAAGGAAGGTGGGGGTAAAGGGAGGATGGGGACACTGGTTTCCCTTGCAGAGTTCTGAGAAGGAAGGAGACTTCCTGGTTCTTACATTGAGTGTTTCTGACAAAGGAGTGTTTTCTCACAAAAGGTGGCTCATCATTTCCAAGGAGTCTGGGCCCTAACAAAGCCGTCTTTCCCTGCCTATAATGAATGCATAGGCAGATACAAGAGGGACCAGCAGACTATGAATGGAAGGATTGCCTGCATCCTGTCAAGGGGTAAGGAGACAGTCACAGGGAAATTCCTTCAGTGACCTGCGGTCTCACCTTCTCTTCTAAGCATGTGGCCTATTAACCCTTGCTGCTCAGGGCAGAACTCCCTCTATGATTACTCCCAGTGGGTGCCCTGTGGCTTCTGGTGAAATACAAGTGCAGTGTGAATCCAGTGGAAAGTCACCCTAGTGTCCCCCCAGACCCCAGTGCTCCCCTGCAGCTTTATTCTCTTCAGCACCTCCCAAAGAAGAGCTCTGTTATATACCAGGTGCTCAATAAATGCTTGTTTGTGTAATTGATCAACTGAATGACCACTATCAAAGGAGAGGAAGAAAAACCCAGATCCTTCTTTAGAATGTCTATTGCAGCCATCAGTACTGCCTTTTCAGGACCAGGTTCAAGCGAGACAAGTCCTCTTCACTGCCTATAGTGTCCACATGGCCAGTCACAAGCTGGCTGATGGGATTAAAAAGAAGAGCGGAGCATATGGGAAGTATCCTTAAGCTAGAATGTAGAGTGTGCCCTACCTGACATGCAAACTCTGAAACATACCAATCAATAACTAGCGTGGCCAGGATCTGACTGTCAGAACTCAAAAAACGAGAAAAGGAAAAAGCAAAGAAAGCAGCCAGAAATGATTAGATCTGGAGCCTCTAAATAAGAGTGAAAGGTCCTTGGTCTCAGTGTCAGAGTCCAAGCACTGGGCGGGAGCTTCCCTTGTCTAGGGTTTCCTACCCTCTGGTAGGAAGTGGGTGTTCCTCTGGGCGCTAAGAGAACACACACCAAACCAGTAACAATCTGCTGGATCAAGAGGCTGAGCCTTCAGCAGCAGCTGCTTGTAGGTTTTTCATTTGCAACCTTTAGCTGCTTAGGGGTTGGTTCTGTTTTCCGAGTTCATTTGTTATACTGTAAAAGGTTTTCCTCGAGTCCCCCTCTGAGTGACAGAGGATGCTGGAAGGACTCCACTATTTCACTTCCATGAGCACCGATGCACTGAATAGAAGGTTCTGGAAAGAAGGTGGACTTGATCTTGACCACCACTGAGACTCCCTATGGAATTCTAGATGGCTTTCTAAATGCATTTTATATCACCAGTATTTTCAAAGCTATTACACTAAAAATATTCTAAATGTATCCACTGATTAGATAACTTATCTTTTACACATAGTAAATGACTCAAGGTATCAGTAATAAGGGTACACAGTTGTCTTCCCCAAGGCATGAGCTTCCTGTATATACCCAGAGGGGTATTTCCGCATTTGACATTTTCCTCCCCAGTCTAGTCCTTTGACCCTAATTCTTACAGCTAAGGTACACAGACATGACAAGCATGGAATCTGATGGTCATTTTCTAAACAGAATTTCTTTTAAAACAGAATTATAGGAAGAATGTTTCTAGCCCCTCACCATTGTAACTTTGTGATGTCAAATTGCCACAATTCTATTAGCCAAATTTTCTACACTCATCTTGTATGGTGAATTAGTAATTATGAGATTGAATTTATTTATCATATGGCTTTTAAAAATATATTTTAGTCTTTTCTGATGGCAGGGTGGTCAGATCTATGGGTTGTCAAAGGCCAGGTAATCTTCAAAATGTCAAGGGCTGCCAACCTCGTAACACAGTGTTATTTTTTATTATCTGGTCTTTTCTCACCAGCTCACATACTCATCTCATCCCTGACTCTTATCCATTACTGCTGAAAATCCAGAGATTACTGGTACAAAAGATGCTGCCTCTGTAACCACGGGCTTATTCATGGGCTGGGGAGACTGGGGTGGAGGGTGTGGGTTGAGGTGCATAAATTGGAAAACCAGAAAGAAGTCCAGGGGTGAAGAAATCAGCCAGAAAAATACCGGTGGAAGAATCAGAGCCGGGTCAAATATGAAACCGTGCCATAATTTCTTAGAGCAGAATTTTGCCCCAAATTCCCAAGGCTGCCGGTATTTTCATGTTAATCCAACTTGCTTCCAGTTATTATTTTTAAAACTACACAAATATAACGGAAAGCCAGCTAACTTAAAGGACTGAAATGCATCTTTAGATTCTTTTTGGGATCTTTTTTCCCTCAAGAGACCCCAGTATCTTCTTGATCTGCTATTCTCTGTGAGTATGTCTCTCACTTACTCTGTCATCTCTTCTCCCAAGAGTGGTCATTTTCTCTGAGCAGGGACTGTGAATGCTTTTAACAGCAGCTCCAACATGAAGTGACGGAGGCTGTAGGCTCAGAAGGAGTGGGCCAGGACCCAAGGTGTGGGAGGCTGGTGAAAAATGTGTTCACGCAGCCCGGGTAGGCCTCCCCCGTTTTGCTGTTGCTCTGCATACCCCTACCCAGCCCTGACCTGGGGGGAACCTAACACCCATCCTTTCATCATTTTCTCTGCATCCTACTTCTAAGTTCCTAGACTACCAACATCTGAGAGATAAACAAGGCTTTCACTCAGTGCTGAACAGGGAGGAAAGAGTGGGTGTTTCTCAGCCAACTGCAGCTCACACTCCCCTCTTAATAAACATAAAGACCTCATGCCTCATCCTTACCCACATTCTGACTCCTGCTGTAGAAGGAAGGACATCTTCCGGGACAGGACCACTGCCAAGACTGAGCCTTCCTCTCTGTGATTCAGGTTAGCAGCTAGCAGTTGTATTTCCTGCTGACTATGTCCTGAGCCAAGAATTTTACAATTATCTTTTCACTTCAGCCTACCCATGGATAGGCATGATCATTATTCTTACTTTTAAAATGGGCAAAAAAAAAAAAGACTTCCCCGGTCGTCCAGTAGTTAAGAATCCACCTTCCAACGCAGGAGACATGGATTTGATCCCTGGTCAGGGAACTAAGATTCCACATGCCAGGGGGTCAATGAAGGCCACACACCACAACTCGAGAGCCAGTACAACTATAGAGGCTCACACACTGCAACGAAGACCCAGTGCAGCCAAAGATGATTAAAAAAAAATTAAAAATTAAATGTACAAACTGGCCCCAGGCAGCCCAATGGGTAAGAGGCCAAGCTGGGGTCACAGCTGAACAGTTTCACTCCAGGGCAGGTGCTCAGAACCACCTCTCCACGGGGCTGTTTGTTTGTTTTCTTCTTTTTATGGAGATATGTCATACTGTACTATTCATGTTTTTTTTTTTTCTTCCAGATCATAGAAGCCAGGTCTCCACCTGAATTCTGATTTCATCCATCCTTTGCACCTCCATCCTGCAGCCAATCCAGTGAAAAATGACTGTGTTGGTAACCCTGAGTGTGAAGGGAACAACTGACTCTCTGACAGGAGGAGTCTCTGCTTCTCCCAGAGGTCTCCTCAGTGTGTGTGTGGGTCTCTGTGTGTGTGCATATGGGCGGCGAGGGGTAGGAAGAAGAACAACACAGAACAACAATACCAACAAGCCCCCCCCGAATAAGGCTTCCAATCAGGTTCAGCCAATGGGAGTCTTGGGCAGGAAAGGGAAGGAGGGAGCAGAGAAATGCTGGGGCATTTCTTCCTGTTCTCTCTCTGTTCTGGTGCTTCAGTGGATGACCCTCATGACCACCACAGTCCAGGCTCCTCTCCTGTGGCTCTAGCCCTCCCCAGGCTCCAGTAGTAAACACAGTTTCTTCCTGTTTCCCTTTCAGACTTGGGAGTGTTCATGGCTACCCACCACTGGCAAGCCCTGGGTGCTTCAGAATCTCTGATTCCCTTCACCCACTGATGCTTCTGTAAAAAAAAAAAGTCCCTTCATTAACTTCTGTTCAACACCCCAACAGAGGGTGCCTTCTACCCCCACCAGGACCCAACAGAGACCCTTTAACATCCCCAGATCAAAGGAAAGGCAAAAACAGCCCAAAACAAGACCTGAAGAGGATGAAGGTCATTTAATTTCATAGGGAATTTGGACCCACTTTTTATAAACTGGAATCAAATACGTTGTCCAAAGGTGAGAAGAGGGCCTGGATATACTTCGAGTTGCCCGAGCTGTGCGTTTGTTACAATCTAGGGAGACTTTGAATCCCATAAGCTGAAACAGCAAACCTCACTGCAGCATTTAAATGTTGGTAGGTTAAATTTGGAATATGAATAAACATTTACCCTTGCTATGTACTGCATAATTTCACATCTGTAATGAACTTCCTGTGCTATACTACACACCACTTCTAAACTCAATCCTTGCAAAGAAGCTCTCATCTGCCCTCTGGGTTTTTCTAAAAATAAAAATGATAACAACATTACCAACACGTCCCTATTTATTCTTGGTGATGTAGTCTGAGCCTAAGCAAGGCCTCCAAGTTTAGTGGGCTATTTTTCTTGTCTTCATATGATACGCATGCCACAAAACCTGCAATTATGGGGTTTCTAAGAATTTAAATGATATGTTCTAGATACTAACTCAATTCCTTTGTTTTTCATACACACAGAAATACACATACACATAAACAACATCCAAGAACATGGGTTTGTCTCTTGAATGGCAATCAGTAAGCAAAATCAAATTTTATAAACAGGTTTCAGAAAAGCCAACTTCATTAACCCTTGATGAATTGTGATAAATAAATGAATATCCATCTAAGAAAGGCATTCTGACATTCTCCAGTCATGGAAGATTCTTAGAGTTGGTACAATTCTCAACTACACCCACACAGAAATTAATCAGTCTGACGCTATGCACTGTGATTAAGTTCATTCATTAGAGTGACACTGTTTCAAATCACACTTACTAGGTGTGACACCCAAACCATCATACCTCCAGAGCTCAGGATGGCAGACCACCATGCTGAGGAAGGCCAGGGTCATTTTAGAAGACAGATTGTCAAACACACTACATTTCAAGATGACCTTGTGATAGTAAAATAGAATAAGGTACACTTCACTAGTTTAATTTTTAAAAATGGGTGAGATCATTAAATGCACTATGTCAGGGGACTCTGTAATTTCCTCAGTCCTGTGTTACTGCAACAAAAATTTGAAGCGATAGACAGACCAGTGTTACAGCTCTGTGTCACAGCTCAGTTTTATTTGGCAAGTAAAGGAAAATACATCCTCAAGGCATGAGGGCGGGCCGACCCAAAAGATTCGGTGAGAAGAGAAGTACCCCCCACCTCCGGCTCAATTTTGGCTCATTTTTAAAAAATTAATTATTTTAATTGGAGGCTAATTACTTTACAATATTGTAGTGGATTTTGCCATACACTGACATGAATTAGCCATGAGTGAACATGTGTCCCCCATCCTGAACGCCCCTCCCACCTCCCTCCCTTCCCATCCCTCAGGGTTGTCCCACTGCACTGGCCCTGAGCACCCTGTCTCATGCATCGAACCTGGACTGGCGATCTATTTCACATACGGTAATACACATGTTTCAACGCTATTCTCTCAAATCATCCCACAGAGTCCAAAAGTCTGTTCTTTATCTCTGTGTCTCTTTTGCTGTCTCGCGTATAGGGTCATCATTAACATCTTTCTAAATTCCATATATATGCATTAATATACAGTATTGGTGTTTTTCTTTCTAACTTCTTCACTCTGTATAGTAGGCTCCAGTTTCATCCACCTCATTAGAACTGATCCAAATGCATTCTTTTTAATAGCTGAGTAATATTCCATTGTGTATATGTACCATAGCTTTCTTATCCATTCATCTGCCGATGGACATCTAGGTTGCTCATGTCCTAGCTATTGTAAACAGTACTTTGATGAACACTGGGGTACACGTGTCTCTTTCAATTCTGGTTTCCTCAGTGTGTATGCCCAGTAGTGGGATTGCTGGGTTGTATGACAGTTCTATTTCCAGTTGTTTAAGGAATCTCCACATTCCGGTGGAGTGGCTGTACTAGTTTGCATTCCCACCAACAGTATAAGAGGATTCCCTTTTCTCTGCATCCTCTCTAGCATTCATTGTTTGTAGACTTTTTGATAGCAGCCATTCTGACCAGAGTGAGACAGAGCAACCAGGAGCCTGAGCAGTGGCTCTTCAATTTATATGTTTTTTCTCCTCCCCCTGAGCTTTCCCTATGTAAATTGAGCTAGCCAAGAGGCCTGTTTGTTTTACCTGAGGTCCTCACTTTGGTCCTCTGACCTTCCTTTGATCTATTTTCACAGGCTTTTCCCTTCTTTGCCTTTTAGCCACCACCATTCTGGACTACTTTTTCTTATTCTAACTATCTAACATTCCCCCCTCAAGAGACGGGAGGCCCAATTCTTTGGGAATAGGGGCATTGAGGTCTCTCTGCCTACTTCCTGCTGAACTGGGATGGCAAGGGGCATTGGGCCTCCCCCTCTTGCTAGTCTCAAGCCTGAGAGTCCTTATAGTGGTGTCCATCTAAGGATGAGTGATATTTTTCATGGTCGGTTGTAGTTTTATGTATCCTTGTTGAACTGCCACTGCATGTTGTAGCTTGTTGACCTGGGCAGAGACAAAACAGGTTAGACAACTGGTAATACATGGAACAATCATAATCAGCATCAATATGGTGATAACAGGGATTAGCAGGGACAGTAGCCAGCTCTAAACTCCCCCTCACCAGGAGAAGGATCCCCCACAGAGAAACTGTAGCCACCCTGAGGACTTTCCAGACCATTCCTTGAGATCCCACAGGATCTGAATGCTTTTCTTGAGGACCGTGAGACTTTCTTTAACTTGGCTGGAGGTATTTACCCAGAAACAACACATCTCATTCAAGATGGCTCTAGTGTCTCCTTGTTCAGGGATCAGGAAATCTCTCTCCTCTCTATTTTGGAGTGCAACCCCTGCCAAGCTGTGTGACTCTTTAGAGCTATCCTGAGAAATNTTTTTCCAGTAGTCATGTATGGATGTCAGAGTTGGACTATAAAGAAAGCTGAGCACCAAAGAATTGATGCTTTTGAACTGTGATGCTAGAGAAAACCCTTGAGAGTCCCTTGGACTGCAAGGAGGTCCAGCCAGTCAATCCTAAAGGAAATCAGTGCTAAATATTCATTGGAAGGACTGATGCTGAAGCTGAAACTCCAATACTTTGGCCACCTGATGCAAAGAAGTGGCTCATTGAAAAAGACACTGATGCTGGGGAAGATTGAAGGCAGGAGGAGAAGGGGACGACAGAGGAGGAGATGTTTGGATGGCATCACCAACTCGATGGACATGAGTTTGAGTAAGCTCCGGGAGTTGGTGATGGACAGGGAAGCCCGGCGTGCTGCAGTCCATGGGGTCACAAAGAGTCGGACACGAGTGAGTGACTGAACTGAACTGAAATACAGAAAATCTTGTTACAGCTGCCTGACAACGTACTGATTTAGGCACTTTCAGAAATAAAGAAAGATAAAAGATAATGCTTACCTTCAAGAAATTTATAATCTGGCTGGGTTAGGACATAAAAAGAGAACAGTACATCCAAGTAGACACTGAAAGATGAGAAATGAGTAGTTCAGATACTGAAAGTTCTGAGAGGACAGAAAAGAGAGGAACCAATCTAGATTCCTCAAGAAAAAATTCTTGTTTTTCTCAGAAGAATCAGTTCTCATTTTAAAAATCACAAGAGGAAGCTTTACATTACCTAATTCAATCAAACAACATGCTTCCTTTATTATAGAGGTTTGCCAATTAAACACTGTAATATTAAAATGCTTTGAGATCATCCAAACAATGATTAAAAGCACTTATTTCTTGAAAGTTTCTGCAGATTAAACACATACACTTTACATTAATTATTACCGAGCTGGGCAGGAAGTACACACAATGCAAGAATCCCCAGCTTTCAGAGAAGTGAAGGCAGTGAAATTATATTCTCTTTCCTCACCACATTTCTATTGATCTTCTTAGAGCAATCTCAGAAATGTTGCAAACAAATAATTTACACCCGATAAGAAAAGACAGGCCCCGAGAAGATAGGTGATCAGAAAAATGAGAAAATATCTCTGGCTGGGCCATTTTCTATTATGAGGGGCAGGCAGTCCCAACAGTGAACCATTTTTCTTGCCTTATCTGAAGGCTTAATGCCAGCGTTGGAAGATGAGGAGGAGTTAAACTCTTCCTTTCTGCTTGCTGTCAAGCCTCATCATTTGCCAGACATGCTTCTATTTCATTTCACTGAAGAGCTGGGCAGAGAGTTCTGAAGCGTGTGGGAAGCAGGAGTCACTCCTGGCTTCGGCTAGTCCTTTTCAAGGAAAGGGAGGGCACCGTCTTTCTCCCTCCCTGTTTTCCCTTACAGGGAATCCGCTGTCCAATTTACTTCGACTTATTTGGACTTGAAAGGAAACACTCCAGTCTGCAATGAATAACCCCAGACAGTTGTAAAGTTAGACCAACTTCTAAAAGGATTCCTCTCGGCTTTTCTAAGTGCAAACACGATTTCCTAGGTAATTCATAATTAGTTAATGGTGCCCCGAATGATTTTTAGCTGTCGTAAGTACCATTACTGTCTTCTGAAAAATTTAGAGATGTTTCTTCAGAAATGACAGCAGCTGTTAGCTTTATTGCAAAACTTTTCTTTCCATTAGCAGATGGCTGAATTTCTTTCTTATTTCCAATTATGAAAACATGTCTCAACTTGTTATTTTAGGCTATTGTGAGCATTTGACCTCCAGCATAAGGCATGAGGAGACACAAGCCTGTTTACTTCAGACTTGTTTTATAAAACAGTAAGTTGATTTAGGGTCCTGATGATCCCTATTCTGCTGTTCTTTTTTTTTTTTTTTTTAATTCAGGAATAGCGAGTGTATAATTTAAAATGTCAGGATACAATAATAAAAGGGTGAAGGTATTTTCTCTGCCCAGTAATTATGCTCAAATATTAAACTTATAATATCCAAAATAAAAACTACAGTTATCTGGCAGTTAAAAACATTTTCTCCATACCACACTGTTGGTATAAAAGCTTCTTTTATATGCATTATCTTTGCTTATCTACTCACATTTGTATCCTCCATGTAAATTCTGCCCTGGTCAACCTCTCAAAAGAAATGATTTTGTTGCATCTCCGTCTGAGTCTTTTTTTGGTCATTCATTTGCTTAAGATGAAGGCGAGGGAAAAAACTTTATTCTAGAGTAAAACAAACTAGGCTGTACCCTTATAAATCTAATCTAAAATGAGTGTATACATAAGACAAGCAGACTTGCCTAAAAAAGGAAGGGTTTGCTTCTGTTGAATGAAGAATGATCATGTAGAAAATATTATTCAGACTTTTGGGATTCTGA